TTTTAGTATCGCCAAGTAGGAATTCTCCAAACCTCATATGCACGTATATCATATCTCGTCTCTAGAGATAGCTCGATACATTCCACTTGCCATGGAATATCGGATATCGAATATGGTTATCGCGGCGATGAAGATATTCGCACAGCAGACATCCTATAAAAGAATGTGCGGCGATTTAACCCCGCTTCGCGTCATGATTTCCCCAGACTTCGGGAATGATTGTGAAATAGGCTGAATACAAAGAATGGATTAAACTTTATGTTCGCAAGATTGGCGATATCCTTCATTTCCTCAATTTTGTGTGTGTGAAAAGATAGATTGGCGCTGCATCAATAGAATTTATTTTCACTCTATCTCAAGCACTCAATGGATTAAGATTAAACTTTGCTTACATAAGGGCCCGAGTGACCCTTGACTGTTTGAGTCAGGTACAATCAATACACCCCCTTGTCATTCTCGCTTATGCACGTCGTCTTGCAAATCCAATCAAGACTCCCATTTCTCACCTGCTTTTGGCTTACGGAGATTAGGTCTCCGTAACACGTTATCCACATATACGATTGTTTTTCTTGACTACAACACCCCCTTATGTGGTGATATCAAACCAATCCATTATGCACAATACAACCAACGTATGGAATCAAAGCCACCATCGATTATTGGGACACACTTTGGGCATCCCATCCTACGCTCCTTTCATACCCTTTCTGCCTTGACCGGATCTTGTACAACTTTGGTCATTTCCCCATATTTTTATATGCAAAGTAGAAGCACTCTGCAATGTGATCCATCTCACAAGGAATCTTACCTCTGCAACACCCCGCCAGCTCCATTCTCTCCTTTACTATGCAGTAGCCAGCCTTAATATATTTTTCGACAAATTCTGGGATCAATTCCTTCTCCATTCGGCCGGTTGCTTTTTACCGAACCCCAGATTTTTATATTCTGATTCTGAACCTGCATAACCATTCACAGGGGTCAAGTTGATGGAAAGCTGTGATATTTGCAGACACACCTAAGCATATCGTCTGATATGCCAATCCATGCCGCGAATCGTCCTCTACCGGCCATTGCAGGACGCCGCTCACGCCTCTGGTTGTATAGCCATAAGCGTGTTCACGCGGCACGTAATCAATAATGCTTTCGTAAGGAGATAGTATAAGCCAAATCAACAAAAGCCTTAACATTCGCACTCTAAGAGCCGAGCTGGGGTTGCACATAAAATCTTTTTTGAACTCTGATTTTCTATGAAAACCCTTATCTTCAAAAACCCTTCGTCTTACCCCAACATCACCCATGCCAAGACAAATTTCATGAACCAACACCTACATGCCTTACATCAACGCAATGTCAATCTCATCTCAAGAAAATTCTCCCAACTCTACCTCGGGAAGCATTAGACATTTCTCAATGTCTCGGGACAAATTCGATATCGATATTGCCTCACCTCAACTTTCTATCGTAACTACCAGCGATTTGACATCTCCAACCTCTCTGAAATCACCAAATGGCCGTCGTATCGCGACGTTTTCCCGCGAGGGTATCTTGGGATCCGCACAAAAAGCCAGAAATTTATCACAATCTTCCGCAGATAGAGAATCTATCACAAATGCATTACAAAGCAGACAAAACCATAATCAAAACCAAAATAGAAATGGAAATGGAAATGGGAATCAGAATGGAAACAGTGATGATGGAATCAATCCCTTAAAAAGAAGGAGTACCGATGCTGGCATCGACTACCCCAGACGAAGAGCTACTATAGCTGTGAGTATTCTATTTTGGACCACAACAACACCTCTAATAAAAATCTAGTGCGAGATATGTCGATCTCGAAAATCACGATGTGATGGCACCAAGCCCAAATGCAAACTTTGCACAGAATTAGGTGCCGAGTGCATTTATCGTGAACCGGGAATCAAACTCGATGCTGGAGATAAACTGATATTAGAGCATCTTACTCGGATCGAAGGGTTACTTCAATCGACCTTGATCGGCCAAACATCCAATCTTGCCCTTTCAACCGGATCGCCGTCTATCAATGGAGGAACCACAACCAGCGGTGAGGATCTACTAATGGCAACTGGTGGAGGCTTTGTCTCTATGTTACCTGCCACAGGTCTTGGCACGTGGGCTATCCCCACCAATATCTCCACGATGCCAAAAATTCACACAAACGCTGCACTACACTTGCTCCAATGGCCTTTAATCCGCGATTTAGTATCACGGCCTTACGATCCCCAAATTCTTCTTCAGCTCGAAATGGCCAGAGAGCCACTTGCTTTGTCCAAAGCGCCATGCTTAGATCTATCAAACACCTCTGCATATATCGAAGCATTCTTTGCCAAAGTGAATGTGTGGTATGCATGTGTCAATCCTTTCAATTGGACGAATCATTACCGCGTCGCTCTTTCCAATGGTTTTCGCGAGGGCCCGGAAAGCTGTATTGTGCTTTTAGTGTTGGCATTGGGTCAAGCCAGTTGCAGTGGGAGCATATCCAGAGCAGTTAGTTCTGAAGATCCTCCCGGGCTTCCATATTTTGCAGCTGCTTGGGCACTTCTTCCAAGTTTGATGACGAGAAACACGGTATTATCTGCTCAGTGCACGGTTCTTGCTTCTGCATACTTATTTTACCTTGTAAGGCCATTGGAAGCATGGACCTTATTAAGTAGTACGAGTACAAAGCTTCAACTTCTCTTAAGCGCGCCTGGAAGGATACCAGTAAGACAAAGAGAACTATGCGAGCGAGTTTATTGGAATTCCTTGTTATTTGAGAGCGATCTGTTGGCCGAGTTAGATTTACCACATTCTGGGATAGTTCAATATGAAGAAGTAGTAGGACTTCCAGGAGGTTTCGAGCAAGAAGATGAAGATGGAGTGGGTCGCGATGAGCTTTGGTACTTCTTGGCCGAGATTGCTCTACGTCGGTTATTGAACCGCGTTAGTCAACTCATTTACTCGAAGGATTCGATGGCTTCGACGTCAAGCTTAGAGCCTGTTGTGGCCGAGCTTGATTTTCAACTATCACAGTGGTATGAGAGTCTACCTCTACCATTACAGTTCTCATATACCCGAAGCCCTCTTGCGGATCCGGTTCAAACCGTGTTAAGACTGCGGTACTTTGCTTGCCGGACAATTATTTTCAGGCCATATATTCTTGCGGTAATGGATAATGAACAAGCAGCCATGGATCCATCAGTTCGAGAAAATTGCCGGAAATGCCTTGAAGCTTCCATTAGACAACTAGAGCATATCAGCGCACAGTAAGTTCATTCTCTTCCTTATCTCACCGCGATAGTCTAGCTAACCCCATTTTCAGCCATGCAGGTCACATGCCATATCTCTGGCAAGGTGCGCTCAGTATTGTCTCGCAAACGCTTCTCGTAATGGGCGCCACAATGTCCCCCTCCCTTTCCGCGATCATCAATTCACTCGTCATCCACGATACAATCGACGGTATAATCAATGACGTCGTCATGGAAATCGAAAGATATGCCCATTTAGCACCGAGTCTAAGTCTCTCTGCCGAGATCATCAGAGAAGCCGAAATGCGAAGACGCAGCTACCTTGGCGGTTGAATGTAGATCCCTCAAAATAATACATTATTGCAAAAAATCGATACCACAAAAAATGACGACAATCAGCACAATGACGATTACCCCCAACGCACTTCGAGTGGCAAGGGGTGAAAAAGGGCCGAATCTTCAATAGTCTCAGAAGTTATCATACATCCTATTTTCGGGAAGAAAGACTGGGTAAAGCCACGATATAAATGAAATTGGGGCTGTGATATGAGTTCAAGAGACCGCACGATGAGGAGATCGAATTCTTTTTAGACTTCCTCGAAGTATCTACGTGGCAGCTAGGCTTTTCGGGCCTGGATGCCTAAACAGCTAATTTGAGTGGTTGAGAACCACCCCGCATTTTCCAGGGTTGTGATGGCTTTGGAGGTTATGTAGAATGGGTCTTACATGTACACTGCCACATGTTGTATATAGTTCTATTTGTTGGAGTGGCTGGTAACTAGTGGTAGTCATGCTGTACAGTGCATGCTACGTCTATTTATCGCTGTTCTATATTGTACCCCCTGTGTATATTATGCATCGCGTGGGATTGTGGAATGTTTCCATCTCGGAAGTCACTTGACCGGGGCATTGTATTAGAAAAGCATAAGACATTGAGAAAAGAATCAACTCATAGTTGAAATTTGAATCAAAAGCGCAGATCTGAATTTGTACTCACTCCTGATTCCCACGATTCTTTGACATGCAAGATAATTAGTAGCCTGTGTAATGAAATAGTATGATGATTGAGAGAGACCTGTCGAGTACTCGAATAACCTTTGTAATCTTACATCATTCTTCCGGTTTTCGTATACTATCAGATCTTGAGTCACTGAGAGTTCGACAGCAGAGAAATCTGACACAAACACTGACTTGGTACTGTTATCATCATCCTGTCTGTCCTATCCTATGACCGTCATGTGACCATGTAAATTGATATTCTTTGGAACTAATTGCTATTTACTGATATTTGTTCGAGATATTTGAAATGACTCTCGCACTTTTAAGGACTACTCGTGCTATTGTACTTATAAAAGCTCATTAGCAACAGTCGTAAGGTTGGAATTGGCCTCAATCTCTTGCACAAACATAGATACAGTCTCAACAGTCACGAGATAGTGACCACTCCACACGAGAGCGCTTCATCTCGCGAGAAACAACACACTCAACGCCAATACGATATATATTTATGTTGCAAAAACAAGCAATAAGGCATGGTATGTATTCTCAATGGGATAGTAATACGATGCAGAGAGCACCGAGAAAAAAACATTCAAAAAAGAGGCTAGATATACTTCTTCAGAGACTCTTGATATGTCGACTAACCTCTAACCTATCAGGCAAAGATCTTCAACTTCGGTTAAAGAAGTTCTCATTTGCTTAGCTACTGAAGTTCAAGATTGTTTGCACGAGCAATGGCAATGTATGGTGAGAGCTTTTTGATGACAGTATGTCAATTTCATTGCTATTATCTCCGGGTATTTTTCCACGGAGCCATTCTTGGACATAGGTTACATTAGTAAGTCATGTTGACTCATAATACCAAAATATCTAGTCATATCATTTCCACATTTCCCAACTCTCAAAGCATCAGAATTTCTATCGCGTTTGCATAGTTGATAAAAGGTCTCTCATCTTGTATCATCTCCAGCAAGAAATTATGTAAATCTCATGCCCCCAACTTGATATCCGCTAATAACGCCTATTTCGCAGTCTTTAGTTTCCAATCATCCTTCTCACCATTCTACCAACTCCACCCCTCGCCGTACTCTGTACCTTGGAAAACCTCATGGCGCCACAACTCTCACTCTCGACATGTTGCACCAACCCACTTAACGCAATAAACTCCTTTCCGCATCTTGCACCTGGGCACTTGTACATTTTCTGCTGATGAACGGGGCTTTTCAGATGGCTACTCAATCCTTGTAGAGTATTGAATCCCCGATAACATAAAGCACATTCAAATTGAGAACCGTTCCAAGAGCGGTTGGTAGCAATGTTGGTGGAGGAGGATGAAGGATACTCGATCAGACGGGTAGTGATGACGTGATCGCGATCCAGGCGGCGAATCTCGGCATTGATTTTCTGACGATTCGAACCAGAAGGACAGCGACCGGATTCGAGGTGGATGATGAGTGCTGAGGCGGTTGGATATTGGGTGGTGCAGAATGGGCATTCGATGGACGCTCCTTGGTGGATTCGGGAATGCAAGTGCTGGTAGAATTAGATTTCTTTTCTCCAGGATAGATTCTACCAGGGTTCTGATTGATAGCTTACCTGCATCAAGTTGTTTTCATTACGAAACATGCGTTTGCATGGCTGGCAATAACGATGGCCATGTTCACGGACGTGATGCTCTTCACGAGCCATGTTGGTCCAATACCAATTGTCGCAACCAAGACATTCAAATTCAGGCTCTTCATCACTGGGTTCGTATTGATCTTCACGGTGAGTATTGCTGTTCTCAACGTGTTGGTTGTAGCTACGATCACTGGCGAACCAGCGGTCGCAAGGGTGGCACCACGGCATATTGAGTAGGTTGGAGATGGAATTGTGAGATGCTATAAGTTATAAGTATACTAAATCACTTATTGATATCTTATGAATGAAGAGATATATTGATGACTAATACATGTATGATATGATTTTATATTATAAAATTAACGTGTTTTATCAGTGTGCGGGTCATATTAGTATGCGGATCATTTCGAAAACCATCTAAATCAAGCTTTTTAAAATATTAATATTTTAATAACTAATCATTATTTTCATGAATAAAAGATTTTAAAAAATAATTGAAATCTAGATTCTTTATTGATCTAATTTTTATAAAATAATTTCATTATTTTCTATAAAAAAAAAGGAAATTGTCACGATTTTCGTTACAAAAAAACTATTTTTATAATAACAACTTTATAAATTCGAATTTCCCAAAACTAATCAGATTTTTAAAATTTTCAGAAAATTATATCCATAAATAAAGAAAGTGCACGGTTACACACAGACGAATTTTATATGTAAAATAAGTGACCCGCATACTAATATGATTCGTATGTTACGGGAGCTGCCTCTAGGGTCACGTAGAAGTGGCTAGAGATCTCTCAAAATGGTTTAGACTAGATTTCAAGTAGGAATTCAATAAGGTTAATAACTAGTTGCAATTCTCGTAACTATAGTAATAAAACTAATAATTGTTCTTGAGCACGAAGCTCTACATTATAATGAAACTCATTTCTTTATATAGACCTTCCTGCTTTATGGAGCCTATAGTTCTGTCCTACTTGGATCCCTTGGATCCTAAGCTCCAAAGGCTCCTGGCTCCTTGGATCCTAAGCTCCAAAGGTTCCAACGTCCTGTCACATGGCATTCATCACGTGATCCAATGTTACCCGTCGTAACATCGTACACTAATAAAACACGTTATGTTATTATATTATTATATTATTATATTATTATATTATTATATTATTATATTATTATATTATTATATTTCTTATTAGATTGATTTATAATAACATAGAATAAGGTAGAATCGTATAGAAGATTATTAATAAAACGAATTAAATTGATTAATTGTACTTTCTTTTTATAATATAAATGATTCTATAAGATTCGATTTAAATCTATCTTATTTATAAGTAAGGAAACTATTAGAATTTCATTATAAACTATTAAAATCTAAGTTATTCTTTAAAAAAAGTCTAGATAAAAGTAAGTAAAGTTAATTCAATTAAACTCTTTATAATTTAACTTCAATTCTACTATCATATCATACACTCGATTTATCTCTAAAATTAAAAGTGACTAAGTCTTCCACTAACACTAGAATATTATTATTATTATTATTATTCTAGACCTAACCTTCAAGAGGAATGAATAGAAAAACTCGGGAGTTGCGGACTTGCTGATCTTCCGTCAATTCCAAAAAGTCTAAGTTGGTGAGTGGTGGGAGAAGTTTCAGAAGCTTAAATAATCAAAAAATCACTTAAGGCGTGGGAAAAGGTGTCAAGATTCACTAGATGAAAGTATTATCAGATTGAAACCCGAAAGTAAACAATTAAATGTGTGAGATTCTATGATAAGTATACTAAATCACTTATTAATATCTTACTAATCAAGCTATATATGAATTAATAATATATGTATAATATGATTTTATATTATAGAATTATATTATTATATTATAATATAGCTATATCTCTTATCAAATTGATTTATAATAAAATAGAATGAGATGGAATCATATGGAAGATTGTTAATAGATTGACTAAATTGATTGGTTGTATTTTTTCCTTTATGATATAAAATGATTCTATAAGATTCGATTTAAATCGATCTTATTTATAAGCATAGAAACTACTAGAATTTCATTATAAACTATATAAACCTAGGATATTCTTTAAAGAAAACCTAGAAAAAGCAAACAAATTCAGCTCAATCAAGCTCTCTTATAATTTGTCTTCAATTTAACTCTTATATTATATTCGATTTGTCCTTCAAGCTAAAGTGACTAAGTCTTCCACTATTACTAGAATATTATTATTATTATATTCTAGAAATTACCTCCAACAAAATGCTTTTACAATCTTTCACATGAACAGAGAAATGTTTATATTATTACGAACAAAGAATAATAGAATTCAATTCACCTATTAAATATTCATTTATATAATTTAAAGGTTAGTTCTAAAATAATATTAATAAAAAACTTAGTCACTTTAGCTTTTAGAATAAATCGAATATATAATATATAAGTTGAATTGAAGTCAAATTATAAGAAAGAGCTTGATTAAATTGAATTTGCTTACTTTTTTCTAGATTTTCTTTAAAGAATATCCTAGGTTTATATAGTTTATAATGAAATTCTAGTAGTTTCTATGCTTATAAATAAGATCGATTTAAATCGAATCTTATAGAATCATTTTATATCATAAAGGAAAAAATACAACCAATCAATTTAGTTTGTTTTATTAATAATCTTCTATTTAATTCTATCTTATTCTATTTCATTATTTAATAAGAAATATAATAATATAATATAAAATCACATCATACATATATTAGTCATCAATATATCTCTTAATTAATAAGATATTAATTAATAAGTAATTTAGTATACTTATTATAGAATCTCACAGCATGAGAAATGATATTGAGGTTGAGGATAATATTAACAGTAATGCCAACGGGGATATGCGAGTTACCTATACAGCAGCTTCATATTTCCTGCCACCAGCCTGCCGGCGTATTGCTGGGTACTAGGTTTTAATGCAAAACTTGATTATGGAATCCAGCAATGCATTATCGTATCATTATCGGGAAGTATGTCGGCCCCATTCACGATTTATCAAGGTTGAATCAAGAGATAAGTAATGGCATCTTGTGGCCGAAGTTATCTAAGGGCTCCTTCATCATATACTATATCAAAATACAAGATCTCGAATCAACCAGCTACTGGGAAGAAAACTAGATTTTCTAGATATCTCAATCGATGCTATTCACCGCTGGAAGTTTCAGTCATTCTGCAATGCAAGTCTATCCTGCACATCATCATTATCATCATGCGAGCGTCCGATGTGCAGCAGGTAGTGCCAGCTTGACATTAGTTTACAGCCAACAAGAAAATATGATTCTGAAGTCCTATCGACGAGCGAGAATGCTACAGAGACTCCTGTTGAATGAACCATGACCACAGCCCGAGATCCTAATCAGTATCCCCCGCATGAAATATACAAAAGGTATGTTCTGGCATCTCAAACGATGTAGAGAATCTCGATTCAATAGAAGATTTCGGCGCTCAGAGTACAATCTAATATCACAATGACATGAACAGTTTCTCAAACACCGACCATCCTGCATGACCACCTTCCAACCTATAAATGATCCGAGTTCAACAGATAGTATCCCCCATCTCCCTACCCCTCTCACCCGGCATCCGAAAGTCCTTTCCCTGATACTACTATAAAACATGTGCCATGTCACCATATAGCCTATCCTAATACCGACCCCTAGAATCCATACGCCATACAAGACCCCTTCCGCAAAAACCTCTACACGCTGCCTTTCCCGCAGAATCTAAGAAAATGCATCATCAAACGCTGGCCTCACCCAGTAAACAACACTATAAACTGCAACACATAAAATCAAGAACAGCACAATGGTAAAAACCAAAATCCTCATACAATATCTATACTATAGAGTTACACTTAGTTTACTTTAGCCCCATTCCCTTTCCCTTTCCATTTGCTTCCACCCAGTCCTTTCCCAATTCCATCCAGTACCGGTCATCCTCCTCCTGGATCAAATTCAACATCTTTTCCGATCTAAAACCACGCCCACCCACGTTATCAAATATTTTCCCATATATAACAATCACTGCTCATTCTACTCTACATCCACTCGCGCCCCCGAACAAACCAGATGATAAAGAAAATGAAATCACACGCATCAGCAATAAAAATCTCAGACAGGCAATTAAAGATCTTGCATGCGATTTTAAGCATTCTAGGTAAGAGAAAGGGGAATAGAAAAACAATAACACCACGAAAAGAAATCTACTCGATTCTCTTTTTTCCTTCTTCGGCATTCGCGTAACGAGCTGTGCTTAATCCACGCTCGTGCTTAGTTGTTACTAGCCCACCGACTAATTTGTCTTTGCGTGCGTTGCTTATTGCTTCATTATAGCCTTCTATTGCCCAGGGGCGAGGATTGAGCTTGGGCCAATTGACCTGTAGAGAAAGTGTTAGTAGAAGTGGTCGAGCGAAATCAGGAGATGATGAAGTGAAGCATCAGGGGTATCAGAGAAAGGGAAATAGAAGACGAAAGAAGAACATACATATAGCATTCCGTTGCCATAAACGAAATTAGCACACCATGCTCCTACTACCAACCAAACCATAACCCAAATTCTCAACGGTAATACAGCAGCATTGGGTAGACGAGGAGTGAAGAGGCCAACAAAGACAAAAAAGATACTGAAGGCAAGGATATAAGGGATGCTTTGAATGAGTAATGGTCTCCTATCGGCAGTGATAAGATGAGAGCCAATATTTGCGTTGCTAGGAAGATAATAGCCTAGGAATAGATCAAATGAATCCTGCTTAGGTCCATCTAGGAAGTTATTTCTCACGTAACGCGTAATAGAATTTTGAAGATCTTGAAGAGCACCAGCTTTGGTCCTCACACCTGTCCTTGTGAAATCTGTTTTGAGAGCGCCGGTTCCAGAATAGGATTTAGAGACGACATCAGCGTTGTCGGCCCAAAGTTTACGGAAAAGAACTTCAAACTCGGGGTCGGCTGTTGTAAAGGTCTCGCCACGAGTAAGAACACCAAGATCCGTTAGTTGCCGATTGAGGGTCCATCGACCAAGCATGCTTTGAACAACATTTGTTCTGTCAAGGCAGTCCATGCAGTTTGTGCGAACAACGCTAGTTTGGTGGTTGCGAACTTCGAGACGGCCATCGATATCAGCTGGCATATCAATTCCACGGAAATATTGTTGTGCTTCAAGGGCAGAGTTAAGTTGGTCAAGTAGTAATTGTGCTCGGTGCCATTTCAATCCTTTGGTTTCGTTGTGGAAATCGAAATATACGTAGTGCAGTCTGTCCATCTCTTGTCTCTTCCCACTTGACTCAACGACCCGGAATTTCTCATCTGTAATTTGATCATTTTGTCTGCTTTCAGTTGGCGCCGAAACCAGAATCTTTACCATCTGTTCATATGCTTCTTTTACCCGCTGCTCACGTCCCTTCTGGTTTACCAAATTTACCAAATAGTTGTCTCCGTAAATTCGGACTTGCTCATCGAAATGTGCTCTAGCGGCAGGGACGGCGCTTTCTACTCCTCGAATCTGAAGTTTTGGTGTATAATGTAAAGTGTTGACTTCTGCCCAAAATACTGGGACACTCCCTCTGGTTTGTACATATGACAATATCTGCATCTCCTTGTCGCCTGATCCTCCAACTTTGCCATTTTTCATTCCAGCACCTCCGGCAAATCCACCAAGCCCACTGCCATTATCATTCAAAATGATGATTTGTTCCGTTTCATTGAAGTTCGAAACATGCCCATCCTCATCCACACCTCGAGAAAAGTATCTAGTTCCAGCTCGGTATCTGGATCTTCGTGTAACCAAGATAAATGTCAATGGAGTAGACTTGATTTGAGTGTGAACAATCTCAAACATTCCAAACATAACTGGCAAGATATATGGATCCGCCGCCGGTTGTTGTCCATGTTGATGTCGAGAACCAGAAGTTCGGAAATCTATTAAATCAGATTGTATGAATTTATTCCAAAAGAATCGATCGTCTGCTCGCTTCCATAGAGGAGCTGATTTGTCGTGTTGCGATTGTCTCTGAAAAGTGTTGGTAATGTCGGAAGAATACGAAAAGTACATCGGTGCAGACTTGATGAAGATCTTAAGGAGGTTTAGGTAGGTGTCTTCGTCTTGGTCTCGAAGCGCTCGTTCTCGGAGAGGTAGAAATTCGGTTGTGATGATTTTAAATACCATATGCCCCTTCAGTCTTCCAATAGGTTGTGCCTTTGTAATTACAATAATGTACTTATCTAGGAAGAAATCAGTTCCAACTCCTGTATAATGTGGCATTGTAAATACCCAGTCGTAGTTTTATCATGCCCAAGATACCAGCAATACTGGAGACACGCTTTCCTCCCAGAAGTGCTCCATCGTTGAGTCGTATATCTCCCGTTGGTCGATCAACTACAAGTGTTGGTGCTGAGGGTGAAGATGGTGATGTGAATGCGTAATGCGATGTTGAGGCATGAACGTTGATGTCCCGAAAGGGCAAAGAACTAGCCATTTTGACTGATCTATCCTGCAGATAGTGTGTATCGTAGTTCCTCTATTGTCTGGTTCTCACAAACAATTTCCTCTGCTGGCGCGTACGATCTGATCTATAATTCAGCCAAGCTTGATATAGCTGTTCTCTAATTCGAAGCTCGGAGCCTCGCAATATCTAAAATTAACACTGGGTGGATACGCCCTAGAGACACCCCCTTGTTATTACTAATCTCGTCCCTCTCTTGTCTGTTCCAGATCAATATCTAAAGTTTCAAAGTACGGAGTACAGAGCTCTTCTTGATATTCATAATCACTAGAAATGATTAACAGATATAAAAGGAGTAAGACATATTCATTAAAAGCACTACATTTACTAATATAATTCTACAGTACCCAAGTAACATTGAAGAATTAGCTCCAGTTTTGACAACTTCTGATTCAGATACAAAGTGTGAATTTAGTATTTAATGATGAACTTTAGATAGGCTGACGTTCAAAGAGCATCTAAACAATGCTCCACGTGACCGTGATTGTCCCAGTAATCGAAGCGATTTAGGATCGTCGTCACTTTCCTGGTTGCGCTGTTTCTCAAGATCAAGCAAGATAGCATTTAAGTTTACTTCAACCATTTTCGCCTTCCTCCTACGAATCAAAGCCGCCCAAGTACTACACGAGCATATACAACTTGCCCAGCGATATATATTCCACTCCATTAAATCTCATTCACAATCACAACCACATCACATTTCAACATGGCTGCTCGAGGTCCACCAGGCTCCCGTGCTGGAAACTCACGATTTGCGCAGTTTAAATTGGTGTTACTTGGTATGTGACTTTCGTGGGTCCCTAATATCTTCATTAAATCAGTTGCTAATCTTTCATAATAGGGGAATCTGCCGTCGGAAAGGTATGAGCTGTTGTTTGCTGTTTGGATCTACTCTAAATGCTAATATACGGGATAGAGTTCATTGGTCTTACGATTTGTTAAGGTATTTATCATCACTTCCAAGCAATGACATCGTTCCAAGCTGACATCCGAAATCAGGATCAATTCGACGATTGTGAGTAGCTTTCCAACAAATCTCGTTTTTATATCGAATGCCCAGATACGATTCAAACAGGGAATTGCGGATGAACAAAGACCACACCGCTGACCATACGACAGACCGCGAGAGTACTATTGGCGCTGCATTTTTAACTCAAACCATCTCCCTCGACGAAAATACCACCGTCAAATTCGAGATATGGGACACCGCAGGACAAGAGAGATACAAGTCGTTAGCGCCTATGTATTATCGAAATGCCAACTGTGCCGTTGTTGTTTATGATATCACACAGGCTGTACGTCTCTATCACCCTGAATTTGAGAGTAATCCGCTAACATCTGTGATAGGCCTCGTTGGATAAGGCCAAATCTTGGGTGAAAGAACTTCAACGACAAGCAAACGAGAATATCATTATTGCTTTAGCCGGAAACAAGCTCGATTTAGTTACGGAACAACCGGATAAACGTGCTATTACTACTGAAGACGCTTCGAATTATGCAAGGGAAGCCGGTTTACTATTCTTCGAAACTTCCGCTAAGACATCTGAGAACGTACGGGAATTGTTCACAGCAATTGCAAAGAAATTACCCTTGGATCAAGCCGGTCCAAGAAATCCAAGAGCTGGTGGTCCAAGGGGAACTGGTGTTGATCTCAGGCCCGAAGCGCCAGGAACACAATCAGGCCCAGGATGTGCTTGTTAGAGAAATTTTGTGATGAATATGCGGGGGAGTATGGGACATATTGGGTGGAATGAACCTTTGATACCAAGAATGAGCTATTGTCGGGACTTTCCACAAATAGTGTTCCTTTTCGAACAAGATTGCTTGGTTGAGGGCAGCATACATGTGGCCACTTCAACATTTACGAGAGCAATCCTTTTTTAATACCTTGATGTCTCTAAATTCTCGTTGGAAGGGGTCTGATTTGCAGCAGATTTCTGCTTGCTAGGCGTGAGGGCTTTCCTTGTTTTTTCCTTTTTGATGAATTAGTTCTTCGGCATTTGGGATGTACGATATGCAATAGAACCATGCATTTAAACCCAATTATTTTTTATTGCACAAGAATCTGTGTTCAGAGAATGATCATCATAGGAAATGTTTCAATACATATAACATCAATTTTTTTGACATGACATTATTTCGTAGCCTTGCACATTTGGCTAATAATGTGAATTCTGACCCTGGGATTTTCTACATCATCGGCCAAAAAGTGGTGTGGTCCGAGCTCCTGTAAACTTGGAAGTGTTTTTTATCTTGAATTGTATAATTGGCAGAAGAGGACGCGCAGTTTTAACATCACCAACCTCAAAAATTACTTATCACTCCACGCAGCCCGTCATGCTGCGAGTTTGTCTTCGATCTTCGAGGACGTTGGGTCTCAGATCCAACGTCGTCAGTCCTGGACGTCAATGGAGAGCACAAAATAGCCGGGTGATTTCGGATACTATGGTATGTATGAAGCTTCAAGATATTGTATCTCAAACAATTAAGTTGTGAGATGAATGCTGATAGTTTTTGCAACTCTAGAGAAGTTATGCCGATAAACCAAGTATAGCAGACTCGAGACCTCCAGTACTTCCAGGATCGGCCAGCGCGGCTACATCTGAACCATTACCACCTGGAGCAATAGTAACACCAAATACCGCCCCAACTCCAGCAACTCCAACCTCTACCACAATTCCTGCGGAAAATGTCCCTCTTACTCCCCCTCCTCCAGGAGTCAAGTCACCAGGACCTCCCCCTCCATCTTCCATCCCACCACCTCCCGCACCAAAGCCAAAGAGACGCTTCTTCCGCAAGTTCTTCACAACCTTATTTCTGTTAACTACATTGGGCTTCGGTGGAGGGGTTTACTATTCTCGAATCAACGATAATTTCCATGACTTCTTTACCGAGTATGTACCTTTCGGAGAGGAAGCGGTCCTTTATTTCGAGGAACAGGAATTCAGGAAACGTTTCCCTTTGATCGCAAATCGAACTCCAAGGCCTTCTAGAGATACTGGCGAGCAAATCAAAATCCCAAGCCAAAGTGGCGTATCATGGAGGGTTGCCAATGAGAACAAGGAATCTACTAGGCGACACACTAGCTCGGCGAAGGACAAGGCGAAGCCATCGGAAGCTGTTCAGACACCACAGGACTCAAAAGCAGCCGATAGAGTCAAAGCCGTTGAACAAGTTAAGAGTGGAAATGCACCAGTAAAGAACTCTCCAGCTCCAGCTGCTGCGTCCGCCACTTCAGAAGCCAAGCCAAGCAATGTTCAAAGGGACCCAGAAGTCAATGAGCCATCTAGAGCATACAAGAAAATTGAGCGAATTGACCCAATTAATATCCCTGATGGAAACGAGCCTGTAGTTCAAGAATTGGTTAAGATTATGAATGATATCATTGCAGTCGTTAATGCCGACAATGCAAATGCTAGATTTACATCTACTATGGACAAGGCCAAGTCGGAATTGAACAGAGTTGGAGGCAAGATCTTGGCTATGAAGGGGGCAGCATTGAAAGAAGCTGACAAGAAGATTAAGTCTCACGATGGAGAATTCGATCGTGCTGCTATGCAACTCATGCAAAACTTCAAGAACCAACAAGCAGAGCAGGAAATTCAATATAGGGCCGAGTACGAAGCCGAGCGCAAGAGAATTCACGAGAACTACGAGAAAAAGCTTAAGTCTGAGCTCGATCGCGCAAATGAGGTCAATGAGCAAAAACTCAAGAATCTTTTGACAGAACAAGCAGTTGAACTCAAGCGTGCATTTTTGGCTGATGTCAGAAATCGCGTGGAGGAAGAACGTGAAGGCCGCCTCGGTAAGCTTTCCGAGTTGACGAACACCGTCAATGATCTCGAGAAGCTTACTGGTGACTTCAATTCTGTTGTCGACGCAAACCTCAAGACTCAACATCTTCATGTTGCAGTTGAAGCCGTTCGTGCTAACCTCGAAAAGTCTCAAATTCCACGCCCTTTCACTAGAGAACTTGCTGCCCTTAAGGAAATTGCATCTGATGATCCAGTTGTAAACGCAGCGATTGCATCCATCAACCCAGTCGCGTATCAAAAGGGTGTTCCAAGCTCAGCTGCCCTCATTGATCGTTTCCGTCGTGTTGCATCTGAAGTCCGCAAAGCTTCGTTGTTACCTGAAGAGGCTGGTATTGCTAGTCATGCTTCGAGTTACGTACTAAGCAAGCTTCTGTTCAAGAAGAAGGGATTGGCTACCGGTGATGATGTTGAAAGTGTTTTAACTAGAACTGAGACATTCCTCGAGGAGGGTGACTTGGATGGTGCAGCTAGAGAGATGAACGGATTAAAGGGGTGGGCAAAGACTTTGAGTAAGGATTGGTTGGGTGAGGTTAGAAAGGTCCTCGAGGTTCAGCAGGCTCTTGACGTAAGTTTTACTTTCAATGTATCCTTCACTCACTTTATGCTTCAATTACTAACAATTCCCAGGTAATTGCAACCGAAGCAAGACTACAAAGTTTGAGAGTCGAATAGAGAAATAACAAAATTCTTTCCTATAATTGATTTGTACATGAAGTTCAGTGGTGAGAAGAGACGATAAGCACGTGTTGGTGGAGAGATCGGTCAGTCAATAATTTTGACTGTTTGTAGAAGTACGGATAGTAAAATTAGAATACATGTACTTTATTACTGCTGTCCTAATGGCAGGATGATTTAGTGTTTTTGCGGTGAAGTGTGGATTTACAAACCATGCAATAGTGCTAAATCGAGGTTATCAAGATGGAAGTAGCAGCGAGCGCTGGTGTGGCTAGGCGTTCAAAGATGCACATCAAACTTTTTGGGTATACTCGAGTATGGTTCGGATGATGTTCGCTTACGAGCGACTGTCAGCCGTCAGATCGTTGATCATCCCTTGATTAAGCATATATTACTACTTCTATCCCAATATCTACCTCGCACCTGTACCCCCATCTTATCAACCAGACTCTTGTTTTCACATATCATTGAAATCATGCACCTATACTGCATACAGTCTGTCAAACCATCCTCTTTGTCTACTCCCTCCCCCATTTAAAGAGCGCTGTTATCATACCGTCCGTTTCTACAGCTTTCACACAGTTTCTTGTCATGTGGTTTCATTTTATTCTCCCTTTTATGCTCAGGATTCTTCATATCCACCCCGTTCCATGCGGATAAAAAGACCTTCGAGAACGATATTCTTCATCCGCGATCTAGTAAATAACGATTACTACGTTGAATTCAGCGAACGTATTCTGAGAAGTAGAATCCGTGACTGTGCGCGATTTTTCATCTATCACATATTCTCACAATTGAGAATACTTGACCTTTCAATCCAGCCCATATTTCGAATGAAAAGATGACTTGAGGAATCTAGCACTACCTCCTATTACTCCGTAACTTACCAAGTTTCGAAACCTTCATCTTGCATCATCTTCACATATGCATCTTCATTTGCCGCTTCCTTCTCAAATCCCTCGCTTTTGAAGATTCTGTAATGTCCATTTACATCTCTACATCCTTCACAATCTTCCCCACAACCACTCCACCCCTGCTTCACCGATACCTTGATCCTCGAGCAATGCTCCTTCGACGTTACCCCTGCAACTTTTTCCTCTCTCCAATCGAACATGAATTCATGATTGTAAAGAGGTCCATCCACGCCTTGGAATACGCATTTATACATAGCCTGGTACATATAATCATACGCCAAACCCATTCTGATCCCCTCCTTTTTCTCAACCTTTACGTCCCAGAAAAAAAGCCCGTACTTATCATTCCTGTTGTAATCAATCAACATTTCTTCAAGTGGGGGCTGACGCAGTAGCATTCTACGCCAGCTAGCATCAGATCTCCTATAAGCCATCGCGACGCGGGGCGATGAACCCCATTCCAGCTTGTTGAAAATTTCATGGCTGACTCGATTCCATGGTTCTTCTTCACTAGTACAAAACCAGTCTGGGAATTTCTCGGTCAGGAGAGGATTAAGCGTAACCTCTGTGTTTCGGGCAGCGGGTTTGAAGAAAAGACATTCTTGGAGATGGGGATGGGTTTGGATTATCTCGGCCCATTGTTTGGAAACGCGTTGAGAGAGGAGCAGAGTTTTGACGTCGAGATGGGAGAGGATCTTGGTGAGTGTTTCAGGGACGTAGAGGGGATTGGGGGTTGTGGTGGACATGTTGATGATTAGGATTTGGGTATTCGGTATTCGGTATTGGTTCACTGGTACTGTTTTGTGATCAGGACTTACCATTCCTATGTAAAGATATTGGGTATGATGAGAACGATGAGTTCAAGAAGTCAGGTGCAGAAGGGATTATCACGTGGCCTAGGTACTCTTATGTGGAGCTCAGCCATAGAACTAGGAGTGGCGCAGTTAGAATAATACATCGTAGATGATAGGTTTAACCGAAACAGCTATTCTCTTCCTGTATCACTCATTCATCCATCTACGCAAATCTATCAATGTGACGGCGCCGGGGATGTGACTCACTTATTACTATCAAGTTTATGAAGCTCTAATTCAATTTGAATGCGTAACCTTAGGTGTTGTGTGTTGAAGTTACATGAGGAGTTCCCTGGATCCGAAACATGTGAGTCAGGCCGATGAGATCAACTCTAGAAAGCGGCAACCAATGCTTGAGGAGGGTCTTGGTATTTTGTAATCCGTACTCATACATGTCGACTATTTAACGACACCATCCTCGGTTGAATTTAATGCCATTAAAACCAGGTTCAGTACTTTGATAAGTTTAACTGCTATTGTCGTTCCTTTGTTTTGATTCGAATCTCTTTTCATTAATTTCTCTAAAGATCGATTGTTCACACAAATCATCGAGGCAAAGAGGGAAAATGTTGTCTCAAGGAGAATCAGCAACCACCATCTTGTGTTCGTGCAAACAAACGAGATTCCATATCGAGAATCCAGTTTATCAAGAGGTAAACACTCCCATCTTCTTGGCGATGTTTGAAGATCATTCCAACTGAAGATGAATTCTGATCATATATATCGTAGCTCGATATTGAAGGTTTAAATATCACGGTTACATCTTCAGGTAAATCAGGTGTGAAATCGAAAGGAAAATCTAAAGCAGAAGGTCTTGAGATTCTATCCAATGCGAGTTTGAAACTTAAAGCTGGAATATGCTATGCATTGATTGGAAGAAACGGCACAGGAAAATCGAGTATGTCTCCCCTTTTCCATTTTGAGCTAAGGGAAATGAGATTTCTAATAGTTGGTGCCACATGAAGCTTTGTTGAAGGCCATTGCGGAGAAATTGATCCCTGGTATTCCTGTACAGACTAGGATATCTATCTTGCAGCAAACAGATGCAGATTCAAAAGATGCTGGTGACGAAGAGGACAGTGAGTCTAGAGAAAAGGGAGGAAGTAAGCTGTCAGTATTGGCAGAAGTCATCGACAGAGTTACTTCGAGAAGTGAAATTCAACATGAAGTCGATGGTATGTATTGACAATCCAATTGTTGCATTTTTATAATCAATATGGACATTGACAAAGTCCCTTAGTATTGTCCAAGGCTTTGGATAGTCAAGAAGATGCACTGACACCTGTACGGGCTTTTCGGAAAGTTCAGCATGAAAGACTGAAAAAGGAACTATTCGAGAAAGATAAGGATGCTAGACTCAGAAGTGGAACACGTGGTATGGCAGCAAGAAAAGCATTGATTGCGTTTGAGAAGATTGTTGCGGATTCCGAGGAACGGTAAGCGGGCATGAACCAAATTGGCGCCCGAATTCTAATTTATGATATAGCATCAATCAAAAAGATGAAGAGATTGACGAAACCACAACCAAAGAAGAAACAGACCTAGCAGCAGAACTTCTTGCAGAGTTACAACTACAGCTAGAGCCCACCAGACTCGCCGATATTGAATCAAAAGCACAAAGTATCCTTTCCGGTCTAGGATTCCCCAAAGCAAACCTAGATAAACCAGTCAACACCCTTTCCGGAGGATGGAAAATGCGTACCAATCTCGCTTCCGTCCTTCTCCAACCAACCGACATTTTGATCCTCGACGAGCCTACCAATTTCCTCGATCTCCTCGGAATTATCTGGCTACAAAAATATCTCGAAACCCTAAAGGAACCTACCACTCCCCCAACCATTGTAATCGTCTCTCACGATCGCGATTTCATCACTGCCACATCTCAAGAACTTATCATTCTGCGCAGCCAAGCTCTGACTTACTTCCGTGGATCTTTGTCTACATATGAATCCACCATCCGCGAAAAAACTCTCTATCTAACAAGAATGCGCGACGCTCAAGAAAAGCAAAAATCGCACATTCAGCAAACCATTCAACAAAATATCAAACAAGGAAAAGCAACCGGCGATGAAAATAAACTCCGCCAAGCTAAATCTCGCCAAAAGAAATTAGATAATCGAATGGGCATGGAAGTGTCCGCTAAAGGAACCCGATTCAAACTCAACCGCGACCTAGCTGGTTACCATTTAACCGCCAGAGAAGAAATCGAGATTCCACCCGAGGAAAGAGGTATTTCGATGATGATCCCTCTAGCACCCGATTTACGATTTCCCGGCCCATTACTCTCATTAGAAAACATCTCATTCCGCTACCCAACTTCCGAATCTTCGAAAAGCACCACCACACCCGCACCATTCGTTTTAGAAAACGTAAACCTCACCATCCACATGGGCGACCGCATCGGAATCGTCGGTCTCAACGGCGCCGGAAAATCCACCCTTCTCTCTCTCCTTACCGAAACCGCCAAACCCACCAAGGGAACCCTCACCAAACATCCTCGTTTACGACTCGCATATTATTCTCAGAACTCCGTGGAAGATCTGCAAGTTTTCTCGCACAACACTCCAGAACTAACAGCTCTTTCTCTCCTAACATCCGATATCGCGGGTGTGCTCTCGGAGCAGGAAATCCGCGGTATCCTAAATGGTTTGGGTCTTCAGGGACGAGTCGTCTCGGATGTTCCGATTGGTAAGTTATCTGGTGGTCAGCTTGTGCGGTTGGCGTTGGCGAGGTTGGTGTGGTGGGAACCGCAATTATTGGTTTTGGATGAGGTGACGACGCATTTGGATTTTTGGACGGTGAGAGCGGTGGGCGCGGTGATGAGGGGGTGGAATGGGGGGGTGGTGGTGGTTAGTCATGATCGATGGTTGGTTAGGAAGGTGGTGGAGGGGTGGAAGGAGGGAGAGGAGGATGGAGGGGGAGAGGTTGAGGATGAGGAGGATGAGGAACAGAGGAGGAGATTGGTTTATGTGGTTAAAGGTGGTGCGGTAAACGTATTGGAGGGGGGCGTGAGTGAGTTTGAGAGAAGTTTGGAGAAGAGAGTTGATAGGTTGATGAAGTGATTATATTACGTTTCACTTTTTATGGGTTGCGTTAATTACAGTCATGTATTCAATCGTGCGAAAAGTGGTCGACATCTAATAGTGTTGTAATTCATATCTTTCGCACACATCTCTATTCGGGTCGAACACTTTCAATATCGTAGAAAGTAGTCCTGATTTGAACCCTTCTAATCATCATGTTTGGGAATCCTTTGAACTTTGAGAATACCTCCATTTTCCTCTGTATAAATCATCACAAACACCTCTAACACTTTCACTTGCTCGAATCATTGAAGTAGATCTCATCGTAGGCTAGAGCTCCCTTCGCGTAAATTATCAGACTACAGTACAGCACAAAATCCGAATCCTCACAAATACTACATAATCTTAGCATCCAATGTTCAAAAATAAAGTCTTCACACCTCACAAGTCTCCCATGATTACATCATTACACAATTACATCACTCAAGAAATCAGAAAAACTTATCCTTCGTGACTAGATATCTTTTACACCATTTTTTTTTCTTTTCCTTGTTTTTCTTTTGGGGGGGAGAGGGGATCACCAGAAAACCGCGTTTGATTTTCACACTGCCTCGATTGCTTGAGGGATTATTTTCTCGACGTTCTCATGAAGTGAAGTTGTGAACTTAACGGAAAGTAGGGGTTTTTAGAGAGAGACTTAAGACTGTGATCTTTTGAACTCGTAGTCGAAGAAGGGATGAGAGGGGCCAAAGAATTGCAATGCATTGCTTCCAGATATGAGAGTATTTTAATGCGTGGGTATCAGGCAGATCATACTTTTATTTTATTTTGTTTGTTTTTTTGGGTGAGGATTTTGAGGATTGGTTATGTATAGATAGATATTTTGTGCTGGTATATGGGAGAGATTCCGGGTTTAGGTGGAGAGAGGTGAAGAAAGTGATGAAGGTGGGTGGTGAGATTTGACTTGGGAGATGCTGATCCCTTGACTACTATGAAAGTAATAATGATAATAATGACGATGATGATGGGAGTAATAAGTATGTTAAATATTTTTCCACTTTAGAATGGACGTGAATTTGTATTCTTCCTCATCTTCTTCTTGAATCTGTCGACTGGTCAATTTGTGCGCTATAGCTTGGGATGAAGAAAAAGTCCTTTTCAGTCCGAAGAGGAGAGAGACTTGCGTGACTACCAAAAGAAAATGATAACTCTACATTTGCATTATTGCGCTATAAGTATCTCGATATTAGCAATGAGCTACAACTTCATTGCCAGTAAGTTGTCGGATCTCTTCAGTTCAAGATGTGGAAATGATGGAGAACCGCACTTCCACTTTCACTCTCTCAATATCAAAATCCATACAAACTTCTTCCGTACATATTCTCCTTCACTACCAAACCACCAACAACACCATCCAAACAGACCATGAAATAACCATAAGAAAGAAATAACAAAAAAAGTTACGCAGTTCTCATAGCTCCCAAGTCTGTTGTCTGTTAATGTTGAATGAGTGGATTTGTACTTACACCGTCTTGAAGATGTACCAGAAAGCCCGGGCCCGGAACTTATTGTACCAGATATGATAATTGGATTTAGGAGGTTTGAAGGTTGGGGTTTACCGTGGATAAGATGAGTGAGGTTTTATCAGTGAGTGGTTTACCGATGAATAAGATGTTTGAGGTATGGATTGATGCCGTTGATACCGTAGATACCGTGAATGCCATGGCTGCCGACCATACCGAGAACAATTGAAGACACATGACGTTGATGCCATTGTATAAGTGTGTATCTATAAATTGATGTGAGCATGTTGGAACCTCGAAGTGAATAATCAGACCGTTGAGCAATTAGAACTTTGAGTTTTTCGTTTATTTTTCTGGAGGCGGCGGTGTCTTGGGTTACATTGATGATAGTTTGTATCGCGGTGAAGTGATATAAGGTTAGATGATGATAGAGACTTGTATGAAGATGAGAGGGCGTGTGGTCGTGTGTTGAGCTTGGTAGTTGGGTTGGGGCTATACTTCATCTTTTCATGGATAGTGGTTGCGTATTAAGTTATCATTCATTTACTGTCAATTCTTACGGTGTGGACTACTGTAACTCTTCTGGGCACACAAAATTATAATGCCTGATTGTTGCTTATTCACTCGTAGCCATCTCCCCTTTTTTATCCGATAAATTAACCGTACTTTCTTATTCACGTCTGGATATAAACCGTAAATATCTAAGATGATTGCCAACACATGCGGTTTTATTTTAATACGTCAAACCGCGATGCCCGTATTGTACATCTAGCAATGTAGCACGTATGGTTGGCTGTACATATTTTGGCATATAACCTCCTCGAGTTCCAGTCAGCGCAACAACTTCTAAACTTGTTCATCTCTGAATCTTAATCACATTGACAACCAGCTAACATTCTCCAACACTCGATTATTGGATCACAGTTTCCACTCATTATTCACACCTCGAACATACCTCAGACATAAAAAACCATCTCCATCTCAACTTGCAGAGATAAATCACCAATTTCCACAATCCATCTCCTTACCACAAAACCCTTCACAAGATGTGTAACATCTGCCAAAAGATCAAAGCCATCCAATCAATCGACTCTATCCTCCTCAAACCTCTTAAAGTCATCCTCACCAAACTACACGAGCGCATCGAACCCGAACTAGGAGATTCTTTCCTCCGCCGCGAAGCCCGTATCCACTCCATCAATAAGAATCTCCAACATCTTCAAATCGGTCCTTTGAAACCCATCATCAAGCTCATCATTTCCGATCTCGATTCGGAGCTCCGCAAACTCGCGGTCAGCAAGGTCGATCATCCTGCCTATCGAACTGTCGGAAAATACAATGATTTAACGACGAAGATCGGACCGGATGATAGCTCCAGCATTCGGAAATGGTTGGAAAATCGCGCTGAAGAAGTTAGAGAGACTAAAGAGTTGAAGAAGATGGTTGCTCTTCAGGGAAAATCAAAGATTCGGCGCGAGTCAGGAGCTCAGAATGATGCATTGGCAAAACCAAGTTATATGACGGGCCCGGAATCAACAGATTCGGAGTATTTGTCAGGAACAGATGATATGACTAAAATCGATTATATGGAGCTGGATGATCGACTTCCGGTTCCAGGTGCTGTCGAATGGTCTACTCATGTTGTGGATCAGTGGTTTAAGAAGAATGGTGAGAATGCTTTGTTAAGCGAGGGGGTTGCGCAGGCTAAGGATGCACCTAGAAAGCAGGGAAAGCATAGGAAACATAGGAAGCATAGGAAGCATTCGAAGAGAGAGTAGAGTACTGCTAGATTTTGCGGTGGTTTTATGGATGATTGATAGAGTATGATTAACAATCAATACATGTTATTATTTTGAGGGAAATGAGAATAAGCGTCAGTTAATGACGCGTTGAACAGTGAGACGATCGCTTGTAAACAAAAACGTATTTCAGAAATATCATGAAAACTTCCTAGTATCACTAGCGTTGCTTTCCGACTTTTCCAGTATACCATCTGACAATATTATACTTGAACCGGTCGCTAGTCAGAACCCAAACTAGCTTAGACATATACCACTTAAAAATACTATGTCGTAGTATTGTATTATTGACTAAATTGAATGACAAATTCAGTATATCTCATCCAACTGATCATAGGTTATTGACCCAATATCGTAAATTCAATAATGCAGTGTGAAAAACTACATTTTTAAAACCCCCTTTGTCACAATGTATGCAAGACGGCCAAGATAATGCCATTTGATAAGTTCGGAGAGGAATCCTTCATTTCCTAACCTCTGACCTATAAATCATAGTAGACACAAGTTGTCTTCCTTTTCCATTACAGCCACCTAATCCCATACTTCAGTAGCCCACTCCATGAGTTTCAAAACATATCCATATACATTTTACATATAAAGTATAAAGGATAACCACCCTAAGAAAGTACATCCTCTCCAATCATCACATCATAGGTTTCAGAGGTTTTATCTTAATCTAGTTTTGACATCCATCTCCGTTCTCATCTCAATCCTCCTACTCAATCACGCACTATCTACCCACTCACTTTATTCTCACCCCATTTCCCTTCCATTTCCCTTCCATTTCTCTTCGCCCTATCCCAACCACCCCCGAACCTACCACCCTTTTTCGCTTCCCCTACTCCCCATCACCCATTTACATTATCTCAACGCCATCCTTCCCAAAATCAAACCAATCTCAAAACTCTCTTTCAGAATCGTTCCCATTTGAAGTAGCCTGATGAGCCTAAGATATACTCTACCAACTCCAATACTTCTCTATCCCCTATTTTAAATAACCATTCAACTTTCTAGATATGATCCAGCACACAGATCAATACAATGTATATAAAAAAATTCCCTAATGGATTCTTCACAATCCCCCTTCCACTTAGTGTAAACTTCATCAAAATGAATCAACATTTTCCCCTTCTCTATGATCTATTACGAAGTAATATATTATCAAAAATGAGATACCATATACTCAAAATCCACAGAAAATGTATAGGAAAATTGAACTCAATATGCAAGGAATACAAATCACAAAACAATCCATCATTTATCATAACCAACACTTCAAAATAAAACTACATAGGTACAAAAGAATACTCTCTAAATAACAAGTTTCATCACAAATATGTCTCCTCTCTTCCCCTATCTTTTAAGAAAATTATCCTATCTTACATACACATCTACAAACACAATTACATACATACATTACCCCCTCATCATCATAAAAACCAAACCATCCAAACCATCCAACCCTAAACCAAAAGCACCAACCCCATCATCCCCACCGTAAGCCAGCCCCCCAATCCCAATCCCCTAACCAACCTCTCCGCACCCCCCTCAAAAGTAACCGCACTCGGGCTCGCCCCTGGCATCTGCGTCGTCACACTTCCGCTCTTCACACTAGTACTCTCACCCTCTGCTTTAACCACATACGAACTTGGTTTTGGTACTCTGGTGATCGATGATGCGGTTCCGGTGGCGACTAGAGTACTGTTTCCGGCGCCATAGGGTGGTGCGATGCTGTATGGTGACGCGATACTGGTAGCTGAAGATGGAGATGGAGATGCGATTGCAACGGGAACAACGGTGATGATTGAAGGTGCGATGATAGCGGAAACAGTGGCGGTTTGAGAATTGATAAGAGTAGAGATTAGGGTTGTGTAGAGACTTGTTGGGGATGCGGATTCGGGGGTAGGGGCAGAGGAAGATGCTTCGATGACTGGGATTGAGGTTTCGATGCCGGCGGCGGAGGAAGCTTCCTTGGTTGGGGTTGGTGAGGATATACCGGCGATGGATGAAGCGCTAACTGAAGGGGCTGAGGTGAAAATGGCAGCGGTGGAAGAATTCTTGATAGCTGGTATCGAAGTTTCGATTCCGGCTGCAGAAGAAACCCCAGAGGTAGGTATATTGACAAGAGTGCTAGAAACAGTGATTGGATATACGGAAGTATATGATGAGATGGTCTCAGTAGTGACTTGACCTGATCTCGCCGGACAATCCGTTACACTTGGAGGACATGAAGTGATAGTATAAACAGATGTTTGATAGACAGTTGAAGTTCCATATGAAGTATTTGCTGTGGTTGGGACTGGTACTCCAGCTGTGGAAGATGTGGAGCTAACGAGACCACTATTTCCACTCGTTTCTGTTACGGGACAAATGGTAGTGTATGAGGAAATTGTCTCGGTGGTTACGGAACCAATTCTGCCTGGACAATCGGTTACGGTTGCTGCGCAGGATGTGATGGTATAGACAGAGGTTATATAAGCTGTAGAGGTGGTGTATTGAACAACTGAAGTAATTGGTGATGTAGCAGTTCCTTGGGCTGAAGATGAGGATACTGGAGATGTGGTAAGTCCTTGAACGGAAGAAGATGCTGTTTGCGATGTAGGGACTCCTGGGGCTGAAGATGGTTTTGAAGATACGGAAATTCCTTCACCAGAAGAGGTTGAGGTGGCACTGGCAGTGACAGGACAGACAGTGGTGTAGGAGGAAACAGTTTCAGTGGTTACAGATCCAATTCTTCCTGGGCAATCAGTAACTGTTGCAGCACAGGAAGTAATTGTATAGACTGTAGTAACATAGGCTGTTGAAGTGGTGTATTGAATAGCCGAAGTTATCGAACCAAGTCCGGAAGAAAGAGATCCACTAGCAGAGATAGAACCAGTTTCTGATGTTACAGATCCGCTGTTGGTAGTAGATCCAGTTGGGATCTCACTGGAACCAATTGTCGAAGATCCTACCACGGTTGATTCGGTTGCACTAAATCCAGGTACAGTTTCAGTAACAGTACCTGAAGATACAGTAATTCCCTCGACTGAAGATGTGGCAGTGGAAGCTGGAGCAGTTTCTGAGTAATTGTTGGTACTGTTTCCATATGGCGCGGTAGACGAGATAACGATGGAAGAAGTAGATCCTGGGTATCCTGATGGGCCTGCAGATGTCTTAGTCTTAGTCTTGGTCCTGGTCTTGGACCTGCTCTTGCAGGATTTAACACCAGTTCCAAGGGATTTGGTAGGGCGTGGTTTGCTAGATTGACCAGTACCAATGATGGAAGATTTGGTAGGGTATGGCTTGATAGATACTCCAGTACCTGTGACAACAGACTTGGTGGAATATGGTTTGGACGAGTGTACACTTCCACTAGCAGTAGAATTGAAGGAGTAAACTGAAGTGTGACTGGAAGATGGCTTAGCGGAGTGAGACTTCGAGGTGTAGCCTGTTGCAATACTTGTAGATTTGGAAGAATATCCGGTGAATGTGTAGCTACCAGTAGGTTTTGAAGAGTGAACTGGCAATGTAACACTTCCGGCTGGCTTGGAGGAATGAATTTGCGAGTGGGTTAAATAAGATGTCGCGTTGTGAGAATATCCTGGAACGGTGTAGCCAGATGATGCTTGAGCTGGTAAAACTTCTGAGGAAGTGAAAGATCCTGCAGCAGAAGATTCCAATGATGAAGAGGATGTGGCGGCCGAGGTCTCCAAAACTGATGCAGAAGTAAGCGATGGAGTAGTTGAGGTCTCCAATAAACTCGAAGATGTAGCAGTAGAAGATTCCGAAAAAGTCAAAGTTGGGGTGGCAGAAGATTCCGAAACCGAGGTTGAAGTACTTGAGATCGAAATCACAGTGCTACTAGCATTAGCAGATGATTCGATCGATGTTGGAACACTGGAAGTGATAGAGACTTCCGAAGTGGAGCTGGAACTACTAATAGTAGTACTGTGAACAATCGAAGATGTCGAAGTGGGAGGAGGTGGTGCGTAAGAATCCAAACAAGATTTAATGAATCCGTGATAAGAATCTCCATTAAGTTCGGCATCTGTGTTTTCTTGAGAATATGTAGCTTCCCAAATCATGACACCTCCGAATTGAGGTTTTTCATGATAAGATTCAATCAAACTTTGAGCCTCGAGTGGAGAAATATAGTCGGATGCCGTTCCTGCATCAGTAGAACCGAGGAGACCAAGATAGATTGAGGCACCAGCACTAGCACCACTGTTAATGGTCGACACCCATTGATTATAGGTGAATTCTGCAGAGTCTTCGTCTCCAGTCAAAGCATAGTTATCGGCCCATTGACGAGCTGTGCATTGAGCTGCGGCATTGTTATAAAATTGAATCCACAAAAGATCAAATTGGGCACCAGCAATCATGGCTCCCATGTTTGGTTCTGGCAATGGACATTGTGGAGCTCCTGAAATGAAGTATTTCTTCGATGGGTTCTCGGCAAAATGTTCTCGGAGTCTGTTGATCATGGCAATGTAACCTTCGGAGTAATCTGATGGATGTCAGTCTTGGTATCATACGAGACGTTCTGGTGGTCTATCTTACCAGTAGGACCAAACTCGATATCGAAATCGAATCCATCAATATCAATATGGACACTAGGATCAGTTCCATAGTAACCACCATCCATTGGTCTAATTCCACCAGCATCCAACCAAGATTGTTTGAAAGGTCCATAACTTCCCCATAAGAAATCAGCGAAGTATTCTCCATCAGCTGCACCAGTAAGTTGATAGGTGTTGGATGCTCCTCCAAGAGAAAGCAATATCTTCTTTCCTAATGATTGACAGTAAGGAATCCCCTCTTGAATGTTTGGACATTGAACATAAAGTTGATCTTTCGAAGTGTCTACATCCCCCAGTGGATAACCTGGACCTGGAGTGAAGATTGGTTGACCATAACAAGCATTACCAAAGTTCTCGGCTGGATAACCATCACCTTGTGCTGGGAAAACATTCATAAAAGCTAATGGAATGATGTCTACTGTAGATTGCTCGCAGTAATATGAAAGGTTGGTTTGAGATGGTCCGGAACCCTGTCGTCATAATCAGCAATAGTAGTTTGAATCTAGTTGTAAGCCATACCCAATACAAAGCCAAATTTGCAGATGATGATGCATCATAGAGAGCGGCAGCAGGAGTAATTAATGCAAAAGTAGCCGCAGCCACGGTGAAAAACTTCGATGAAGACATTATTAAAAGGATATTAAGTATATACGCAAAAATGAAAGTTTCAAGAGGCCTAAGCCAGGTAAAGAATGTGATTGAACTGGTATGGTTGTCAAAGACAGGACGCAAACAAATGTCTGCACGGTACGAAGGTCACCGGTGGATGAGAAGCTTGATGTCTAGAAGAAGAGGGAGGAGGGAGGAAGAAAAGGGAAAAGGAATTGTATAGAACAGGGATATGTAACATTTCTCCTGATCCCGTCATTGTCGAGACCAAAATCGAACGGTTCATCATGAACCAGGGGTTACACAACGATTTCTGGCTAAATGATGCTCAGATATTGTCGAAATGCATGTGAGGTATCCAATGACAGCCATGAGACAACTCGCTAAACATGCAAAGAACAAAAGGGAAGACGGTCCAAGGCACTCGTGGCAGGGTAATCTCCCGAAAGGTAAATAAATCAAGGTAGCGCGGAGAGTTTGAGGTTCGAACAACCAATGAGGAGAATGGATTGAGTTCTTTTATAGGAATAAGCCCATCGCAGGGTGAGTCTGCAGGAACGGAGTAGCTTCTTCGGCTGATTTACCCGAGGGGCAATTGTGCTCAAAGCATCAATTCGACCGGTCCCTCAATCCACTTTGCGCGCAATGGTTACTCCACAAGGATAAACAATTGGTTGTGGGAGTGGGGATTGAACACTGTGATCATTTCCCCAATATTGACAAAATGTAAGATCGGTACAACGTTCTCCCATAAAGTTGGTCCGAATTATCGGATCTATTCAAATGTGACATTTATACTACTAACACTCCGGTCCAGAGTCCTGTCCTCCCTCTTCACTTCAAAAAGTCAAAATGCTTGACTTTCCCTTCAAAATTTTGTTAGTTCAAAGGATACATAATCTGTGTGTATTGTATCTAGGCGCCCATTCGATTTCATCCAGAAAAATTCCTTCTTTGGATCCCGAAATCCCGTCTCTCGAGTCTTGATAGATGACTAGTCAGGAACAAGATCCCAAATTAAGCGATCCGACCGCTATCACCGACTCGTGGGCCGTGTCTATTCATCCTTACGATAGGTCCACTGATGATGAAAAAGCTTGCCTTTTCCAAAAAGGATCCTCTAACACAATCAGGATCCAATGTTGGCTCAGGGTTGGGCAATCTTAAGAAACTAAAAGATGTCAGCAAATAACCGAATGAAGAGATTAGTTATCATTAGCATCAATTGATGTAACACCCAGCCTGAACTAGGAGTAACCGTTGCCTAAAAAGAAAGATGGGGTGAAGGATTCTTGAGAGAGTAAAATTTCTGCACGGCTAGACGAAATCCATCTGTACTGCGCCGCTGAGGGCCCCCCCTTGACAGGTAAGCACTTATAACAATACCTGTACAATATTCGATCATGCCGAGATTCGATGATTTGATACCACTATCCTGGAGAAGAGATAAATAAGAAGCTATCACCTAAATGCAAAAGCACCATACGAAGGTACTGAGATATATACAGTATCTTAACGTTGATGGTGTTGATCCCCCAATATTTCACGCTGTCGAATCAAGCTTAAAATTGATCAATAGGATCGTCCATTCGACATCTATCATCCCTATCAAACTCTACCAACATCAAAGCATTGATGCTCTTGGAAGTTCACCCAACCCACATGGCCACCACACACACCCACTTCTCTTCTTTCCTTCGTAACGTCCGAGCCATCCCAGATTATGTGAATGATGCCTGTTGATCATCTTGAACCCAGACCCATTCTCGAGCCATTGTAAAAAAATATTTCCAAAGCTTTAATGGAAGAATCGGTGCGATTCTTGAGGATCTTCGAATCTCGAGATTACTTCGTGTTGATTGATATGGGTCAAGAAGGAGTCTATACACTTCTAAACTTGTTTACAATAGTAAAGTTGTAGTGCACTAACAAGTCTTAAAAAAGATAGAAAATCGAATACATGATCATGTGTAGAATTTACACTGCTATCTCATTGACTAATACATTAAGGCTGAATTCGAATGCAACAACAATCATATATTGGATGTATTGACATGATCAAGTACGAACATAGTATATAGAAAGGGAGTAATATTGAATGCAATGCAACATGTTCATTTTCTTTTCTACTACTCTCAGCTAATATTTGGAATATCGATATCAACGGTATTAACCGCACGCCAACGGTGTGATTAGGTGCAATACCAAGAAGCCAAACTTATATGCAACTCGTGGCTATGCTGTTACCTTTTTTTTTTGTCATTTCTTCCACTATTCCATTATCAATATGACCCTTTTTATATCATGGCGTTAGTCATTGATTCTCTAGCGATGCCCCCTTAACCACAGGTTACACACGGGAGAAACAAGAGATATGCTATTAAGGTTTTCAAGAAAACGATCCGAGCTCTAAACTCTATGTGCTGTGAAATCAAAGGGTATGGTTTGATTAACTGACACCACATCTAAGATAGTAGCTTTAAAGAATTTATCAATTCTTTCGTCTGTGAGGTTGATTCTGGAGATAGAGTCACACCCTCAATCGATTGACGTAACTCCACGTCTGACTCCATAGCTTTCCTTATCATTTCAGCAACATAAGTCTGTCTCGGACCGAAGAGCCATTCCACAGTACTCAGTGCCTCCAGCAATTCCAAAAAGAAAATAGTCAGCGTCATGTGCATAAGCAGGTCTTCTTTATCCACCATTTCCATTGCCGCGAAGTAAAGTAGCCCGAGTTTCCCATCGCCCTGTGACGATATATACTCCATGTCGACTTGGCTTAACGTTGGACGAGCGAGGTAATCAAAACCCACTGTTACCAAATGAGGAAGAATTCTCAATAAACGAGCTTGAGCAAGTGTCTTTTGTTTCTCATCCAATTGACCATCACCTTTTCCGACAGTCTTCAAGCTACAGAGTGAGAAAAGTATTTCATAGATTTCGACGTCCTGAAATATCCTTCGCCACAGCGCTCCTTGGCCAGGTGGTCGTTGAGCATCAATATCCATATTTCCTACCCCATTTGTAATATGTGTCAATTCTCGAACAGAGTCGACATCTAAAAGTTCTCCTAGCACTTGCGTAGCTTTCTCTCCAACTCCGACATGAGGGCTGCTAAGCCATGTTCGGAGATAATTTTCGACCACTCCTCTCATACCAGATAGATTTGCTACATCTGCGGAAATTTTCGTGGCCTTTTGAATTATTGTTATGGCAAGAATATTCGCAGCAGGTATGGGAGATCGAAGTGCGAGAATCAAAGCATCTTCGGAAGCCAACTGGAGAGCCTGGGGAAATGTGATTGGCTGTAATAACTTTACGGATAGACTGGCGAGTACTGTAGGGTCTTGTTGTGTGGTGTGGAGAATCTGAGTAATGGTAGGAAGTAGCTTCGGGATCAGAGGGGAGATGTTGTATTCTAAAAGCAGATTAGCAGCCGCGAAGATAGTGGAACACGACAGCTTGATTTAGAGCTCTTCTAGTATGTAGGGAAACAACCAGCACATACCTGTAAGTTGCAACTCTACGGCATCAAAGAGTTTTGTATCGATTGGGGTATCTGGAGATTTTACCAAATCTTGAAGATGAGCTTCAAGCTCCTCCAATTTGAATATGGGGGTATCGTCTATATCCATCTTGGACAATTTGTGTGAGCCGTTGTATTAAACAATGATTGGATATTGCGCAGTGATGTAAGAATCCGAGACAGATCTCGCCAGGATTTTAATATCTGTTAACTATTCGGAATTAGAAGATTAACGTAGAAAAGTAAAGAGTGTTATCGATGATTATCCATGGTATAGCGCAAGAAGAGTGTATTTAGGTAGATGAAGCTTACACCCCGCCATTTTAGTTAGTTTCACCGCTTTTTTAGAATGGCAGAAAATCTTGGGGAATAATATCTACTCGTAGCTTAAGATCAAATTCAAGTTATTCAAGCAACTACCAATGTTTGGATTCTGATTTCAATTGCATATATCTTCGAAATTACTCGCCGCAAACATATCACGACAATCCAAGCACAATATACCACCACAAAACCAGGTGCTACTCAAAACAACATCCTGCCTTGTTGCGAAGCACCGAATATCGACCATCGTCAATCACTACAAAAATCAAAAATTCTAGCATCGAATGGCCTTTCGTGGAGGTAGAGGAGGTGCCAGAGGAGGTGGTATAAAAGGCGCAACATGGGAGCATGATGCTACCTTGAAATTAGACTTCACACCCAGTGAAGATTATCCAGTACGTTCCGTCATTCCTTCCCCGACTCCCTAGTTCTTTTTTCTATAACCAATTTCTATCCTCAGAATTCAATGCGCTCAAACCAAAAAAATCTACTAACAAACATCCCAGCGACATCCCAACCTCAAACGACCATCCCCCCTCACCCCCCAAGAACGCACACAAGTAAAATACTACCGCACTCTCCGCGACAAAATTCACCGGGGACCCCTCTACACGCACTCTACCAAACGCGACAGCGATGCGCCGGTGCGAACCTTTGGAGAACAGCAATTCAACGAACAATACGGCCGACAAACCAAAGCGGATTTCGATCCTTTCCTCGGCGTCGAAACATACAGTATGAAGTATCAGCGCAAAAAGCGCGCGATACCTTTAGTGAGCGGGATGAATTTTAGCAAGGAGTTTTATCCGCAGGAGTTATGGTCTGTGTTGAGTGGAGAGGAGGAAGCGAAGACGGCGAAGGATAATGCGGCGATAGCGGCGATGGGAGAGGAAGATCCTTCGGAGAAGACGCGAGCGCTGTTGGCGAAGATTCAACAGGCGACAGGGGTGGAGGGGGCAGAAGGAGAAGAGGATTTGGGAGAGGAGGAAATTGAAGAGGAGCAGGATAACGATTATGAGGATGATGAGGAGGATATGGGTGGTGATTATGATGCGGAGCAGTACTTTGAGAATGGTGAGGATGATGATGATGATGGAGGGGATGGGGGTGGTGAAGATGATTATTAATATTGAGGGGAGATATTCGTGCATTATATTTCGATTTGAGGCGAGGAGTTTGGGGGTGTTGGTATTTTTATGGAAAATGATTGCGCAGAGGGTTATGGAAACCATATCTGCTGTATTGCATAGGCGTAACAATCTTCGAAGGAAGAAGCATTGAAAAAAGACTCAAGAAGATAATCTTACAAAATTTGCACTTCCACTTAAAGAACACACTTAGCTGGAGAATAACGTGCAATTCTTACAGAATTTCCACTGCTACTTTGGTAACCGAAAAAAAGCGAGAAAGGCGATAGAAGACGGGATATATATCAAAAGCAAGAAGTTCAACTTCCTTTTTTGCCCAGCTAGATATCTAAAGGTAATCCATGCATACCTACATATATGTATTCATGGATACATAAGACATCAACCCCAACATCCAAGCAACCACACCCCCAACCATAACCCCTATTCCTCTTTACAAAACTTTTCCTCGCACTCCCTATACTCTCTCCTTTCTCGCCGTCTTCCCCTCACCCCTCTCCTTTTCATATTTCCATTTCCATTTCCCTTTCCCGCTCTCGTTTTCTTTTTCCTTCACTTTACAGAAGATAACTTGTACAACATCTTCCCCTTCACATACAGACTACAACTGATATAGTATCTCTCCCACGCACCATACTACTATTGAAATAAACCAATCGTTCGTTTAATAAAATCCTATGTCTTTTCAATTCATTTTTATTTATTTTGTTTTTACCTCATACCATATCATTTCTTTTCATTCTCCTAACCTATCCTAAAGTAACTTATCCTATCCCATCTTATCCTATCCTATCCTATGCATTCATTGTATACCTCCTCTCTCCCCCTTTCCTTTCCTCTCCTCTCCCCCTTTCCTCTCTCCCCCACCATCCATTCCAAATACAATACAATGTAATGCAGATCAAAAATTCCAAAATTCAAAATAACCAAACATCTGAATAGATACACTACCCCTTCTGCCTTTTCTTGCGGTTCCTCCTCCGAAGCGGACTGCCTCTCATTTCATTCCATTTCATTCCCGAGCAAGTCAAATCAATACGAGGGAGAATATGGCATTCGTTTGAAATGTTTGGATGATATGCGGTGTGATAGGACTCAGTTCAACTTAATTCAACGCAACGGGGGCGGGATAGAACTCAACACAATTCAACGAACGCAACGCGACGGAACGCAACAATGTCTCAATGCCACAACACAAATCCAAATCCAAGTTCCTAATCTCCAAGCAAGATTCAAAATTCATCCAACTTCGAATACAAACACAATACAACTTCCTACAAACGCAAACATGGATACAAACACAAACGCAAACGCAAATGCAAAAAGCAAAACAAACAGACATCCACCTCCCTCCCTTCCTACCCCAATGCTTATTCTCATGCTTATGGTCATACCCATCCATGCCAAGACCAATACCAATACCTATACCTATCAATGCCTATGCAATTTTAGTTCCGCTTCTATTCATTTTTCAATCCTTCCCACAAAATGCATTTCCTGAAGATTTAACAACTTTACCTCCAAGATGCAAGTAGGTGGTACCAAGGTGATTTTGATGATATGTAATGTGATGTGATGCGATGTAATGTGAATATTTAATATATCCTAATATACCAAACCATAAAAGGAAAGAAGAAAGGGACCCAGTAAGCGAAAGCGAAAACGAAAACGAAGCGAAGCGAAGTGGATTTACTTGGGGATATCGATGATTTTACCTGGATTCATTATCCAGTGTGGATCTATGGGGACGGGTTAGTTGGGGTTGTGAAGTTGAATTTGAGGGTATACAGTGTGCTTTCTGATAGATTTTGGAAAGAAGAGGGGAGGGGAGGGGAAAAAAGATAAAACATGACTCACCTAATGCCGATTTGATAGATTTCATGACTCCCAAAGTATCATGTCCCAGTTCCAGGAGAAGAGATTCTTTCTTTCCAATACCTATTCCATGTTCGCCCTATGTTTCTGTTAGTTCCGATCCAAGTTTCACCAAAATACAGAAAATGAAGTATACCGTAACCGTCCCCTCCATCTCCAAGGCTCTAACCACCATATTCTTCACACACCTCTCCACCTTCTCCATTTCCCCCGGCACCGTCCGATCATACATGATACTTTCATGAAAATTTCCATCTCCCACATGACCCAAGATACTAGCAAAAAGTCCCAAATCATCCATTTCTTTCTTGCTCAACTCAATGATATCCGCCAATCTCGAAAATGGCACGGCCACATCCGTACTCCAGACTTCGCTTCCATTTTTTCTCAATGCTAGCATACTCCATAATGATTCTTTTCTCGCTGACCACAATAACTTTTGTTCTCGCGCGTCTTTTGCGAATTCAAAGGAGCTGCCGCGATGGGATTTCGCGATGGAGGAAACCATTGCTATGTTTTCCTTAACTGAAGCTTTCGTACCGGAGAACTTGAAGAAGAGGGTAGGGAGTTCTTTCCATTGACGCGGGGCGGTGGATTTGGATAGATTGACGACTTTCATTTGTACTTCGTCCATGATTTCCATAGCTGCGACTTGAATACCCGCACGCATGACACCTGCTGCTGCTGCCGCCGCATCACGGATTGTAGGGAAAGTGACTACAGCGACTGAGTATTCCGATGGTACGACAGCGAGTTTGAGCGTGATTTCGGTCACAAGACCCAGGGTTCCTTCAGAGCCTACGAAGAGACTATTGAGATTGTAACCTGCGGAGGATTTACGAGGTCGTCGTTTGGTTTTGATAATTGTTCCGTCGGAGAGAACGACGGTTAGATTTATGACCCAATCTTTCATAGAACCGTAACGAACGCAGTTGGTACCGGAACAATTTGTTCCTACCATACCTCCAATTTTGGCACTTGGACCTGGATCTACTGGGAAGAAAAGTCCGGATTGACGTTTTGCCAGCTCATCATTGAGATCCATCCACTAGAGGAAGATTAAAATTTACACAAATTGAAAGAAGTAGACGGAAGTCAAAACCAATCTAGGATTCTTACCGAAACAGATGGTTGAACAACAATATCCATATCCTCTGGGTGAAATGCAATGATTTGGTCCATGAAAGCAAAATCCACGCTAACACCTCCATAAGGACATGATACGTTTCCTTCCAAACTCGATCCTCCTGAATATGGAACAATTGGTACTCGATATTTGTGACATATCGAAGCAATTTTAGAGACCTCTTCAGTAGATTTTGGATAAGCTACTGCTACTGGTAAGCCATCGACATTGGTAGATGACCATTCTGAGCTATTGATACAGATTAGGTGAGTATTTCGTCAATTTGGAAGAGAACTTTCAGAAGCTGTCTGTAGTGTGACTAGCCGAGATATTTCATCTTCTTATGTGAGACGAACGACATTTCGAAATCTTGAAGAGTACCTAGTACCTATAGTAATGAAAAGAAACTAAACTTACTATCCATGAGCCAACAAATCTTCCGGGTCCGTAGAAATAGTATCTTCATTTGTAGCTTCTTGAATTTCCTTCAAAGCCTATATATTCACAATCTGATCAGCTTTTGTTTCTCTCCTCGCATTTCCATCTTTCATTTCCACTCCATAATATCAATTCCCCAACCAACCAACTCACCATTTCCATCTCCTTAATATCTGCATATCGAGGTACCGTAAACTTCTCTGGATCCGCATAATCCCTACCCTCACCCCTCCTCTTCTTTTCCCGTACCAAGGCAAACGTATAAGCTAAGCCGGCGGTGGCCGCCGCCAACAACAGAGCATTTTGTGTTGACCATCCATTTTTGTCTTTAGAATCCGGTTTCGGTATCGAGGTTGATACTTGCGAAGATGTATGTGTATTTAATTTCGCATTTCTACTTTGGTATCTCAATTGTCTGATTTGAGATATTCCCAAGACTCTAGCTGTAGAAATGCGAAAATAGAGTGTACATTTCCCCGTGATAATTGTCGGTTGATGTCGCACCGAAAACATGGCCACGGCTCAGAGATCGAAATGGGATTTGATGGATGGATGGATGGATGGACGTATGGACGTATGGACATATGGATGTGACATACACACCAACGAGACGACCTTGATAGGAACCAGGATAAAAATGAAGATTTCCGTAATCTCCTTTTCCCTTGTAAATATATATATACCCTAGAAATGGGTGTATACAGGTATGTAAATATATATTCCAGATGGATTATGGTGAAGATTTCAGTTGAAAGACGAGGTAAAGAGCTGGTAGATTAAAAAAGATAATACGATGAATAAGATTATATAGTTGCCAAATGATCAAGGTAAGAGAAAGAATTCCAAAATCATTACTAACTATCCATCTGACGTCTGACTTGATGACTTTATATATATCACACAGAGAATCCGGATCTCTTTAGACCTACCTACCTACCTACCTACCTACCTAAGTACTCACTTGAACACTTTACTTACTTCTTCTCCTTCTTCGTACAGAAGTGGACCGTGTTCATTTTCTTTCTAATCTACAATTGACCTAGATGAGGAGGTAAAGTAGAGCTTACAAGTATTAAGTCGTCATCAAATAAGTACTTGCTAGTGTTTGTTTGTGGATCATGAGTTATACGGGTTCTCGTTCTGGTAGATGGTCATATTGTATTTGATCTTGGAGGTCTAGGTTCACTAGTGGTTGTTTATAACGTTCTCTATTTACTACTACCTACCTACCTACCTTCTTAATATATAGAACAAGTGATATTTCATTCAATTTACTCTCATCTAGTAGATAGATCTTCCTCAATTTACAATAATTTTCCTAATTGTGTATAAAATCCCCATTATATCAGACTTTCCATTCCTCGACTCGGATTACTTACCTAGATAGTTTTATACAGTACACTCAACTCAGTATATGCAGATCAAACACAATCACCATAGACTCTGACCTATATGTGCAAATACCTAATAGATATACACACCTACATACCTAATTAGTAATACTCTATACACCTAAATATGCATTCGCTCTCTACTCTCTATCTCTACCTCTCTATCTGTCTCTACTTCCACTTCAATATATTACACCAAAAACACCACCCATTAAATACAATACAACCACCACTTACTTCTCAGCCCAGCACAGCATAGCATCGCATAACATCGCATCTCACCACCCCTACCCCTCCCTCACCCATCCATCCATCCATCCATCACTCATCGCACAAAAATTCTCACTACCAGCTGACCACTCTCACCAGCCTCACCCCTCTCAGTACTCTCTGATCCTCACACAAATCCAATCCCCAATCCTCAATCCTCACTCCCCATACAAAACTTCCCCAAAGCTAATATAATAAATATAAGTTATAGTTAAATATAAATATAATTCACATCCAACCACTCCGCTCCACTCCAATCCAATCTATTACCATCCCGCCCCCACACTAAAACCTCACCAACAATAATCCAATTAATACTCATCATCATCAACTTCTTCTCATCTCCTCACCAATCCACTCTCCATCTATCCACTCTCCATCCACTCTCGAGTCTCTATCCAAGACTTCCAACCTAATACCTAGACAGGTATTTATCTCTCCCTCTCTCTCTCTCACCTCCATCCCGGAATTCCATTATCCACCTGTCGTGTTACCCCACGTTTATCTTAAATGAATGACCTTGAATGCCATTTTGACAGCTCAGATGCTTGGTTGTCTTGCTTGGTTGTCCACCATAGTTGTCTTGCTTGGTTGTCTTGCCCAGGTTGTGTACTGCTATATATCTATATATCTATATATATATAGATATATGTACCTATCACCTATATATCTATATACCTATATACCTACCTATGTACCTACGGATGTATATGTATGTATATATACAACATCATATATCGGTCGGTATCTATACATTAAACATATGTAGGTACGTACTAGGTAGATGGTACTCTTGACATAGCGATATATGAACATGTAATGTCATGTCATACCATACATTGCTTTTGTACCTTGTATTTCTAGCCTCTAGCTTTTACTTTCGATCCTCTAACCTTTAGATTCGGGGGCACTGGCATAGCAATATACCTACTACCTAGAGTCCTTTTTTCTTCTCAATTCCTTCGCCCAGACAAACTCCAGAGTTTAGACTCCAAGTATTTCGATATACTATCTATACAATACTATACTATACTCACTACAAGCTTACACATAACATAACACACAACTCCAAATCCCAATCCACACCCAAATATCCAAAACCCAATTACTCCTTCCCACCCATCCCCTCTTACCTAACAGAAACCACACATCACACATCACCATCTTTTCGGCTCTTTACTCCCCTGAATACTCTAATAAATCGGTAAACCCCCAATTTCCAACCCGAATTCTCGGTCCTTCCGAATGTCTACTTCGTAGATCGTTGCATGTGACAAATATATATATATATAAGAATATGGATAGAATGCGGATTATACTAATGTGATTGTGGTTGGGTCGAAGGGAAAACAAAGGCTGAATGATAGTTTACTACTTACTCGTGCGGGAAATGGTATTAGTATGGTATTCAAGGTTTGAACAAGTACCACAGTCCTTAACAATGCGTCAATGCGCAAAAGTATTAGATCGAGGCTTTAATACAGTCACTCCCACATGAACAAGATCCTATATGAATAAGATTGGATCTTCGATATAGGTTAGATTTTTAGAGTCTTCACGGCCAGGGTACAGGTTTACATTCCATACATCACATCACCATCAAAATTCAAAAACCATCCGTTTAAAGTTGGATTTGGAGGGTTATATCATTGTGGTTAAAAATCGACTCATACTAAAATGTGTCGTCATATTTCTCATAAACTTTTGCCTATTGCAAAAGGAGATTTTTAATATCCCATTCCATGACTCCCCCTAGCCCAAATACAAAGCAAAAAGTACTACATTTATTGACCAGCGATGGCATGAGCACGTCTGCGGTCTCTCTCCTCAGCAATGGTGAGCTTAACACCCTTACCCTTTGGAAGGGAGATCCATGGCTTCTCAGCTCCAATGACGAAAACGTTGCTCTCACGGGTAGCAAAAGAGTTGTCTATGGCATCCTTGATGTGGACAATGTTGAAACCTCCATCGTGACGTTCACGGTGAGTGATAACACCAACACGTCCCATGTTACGACCACCAGTAGCCATGGCGATAACACCAGTGTCGAACTTGATGAAGTCGGTGATCTTTCCGGTGGCAAGGTCAATCTTAACGGTGTCGTTAACCTTGATGGATGGGTCTGGGTAACGGATACTAGAAATTTTAATTAGCATTTCTGGGGGGAATAAAAAATTCAAACCGTTGATCTAGCAGAATTTGTGTCGGAGGGGATCGACCAAAGCTTGGACCAACGGCTGAATGATGTCTGACAGAACTTACGTTCTAGCATCGTGCGTGACCAAGAATGGGATTCCGCCCTTGCCCAATTGCACTCTCTTGACTTTTCCGAGCTTGTATTCGGCCTCCTCAGCTTGTATGCGATGAACGGTAAAACGTCCCTTGGTGTCGTAAACCAAACGGAAGTTCTCGCTGGTCTTCTCAATACCGATAACATCCATGAAACCGGCTGGGTAGGTGGCATCGGTGCGGACCTTGCCATCGACCTTGATCAAACGTTGCATAACGATTGCCTTGGTCTCACGGGAGTTGAGAGCATACTTGAGACGGTTACGGATGAAGACGATGAGTGGCATGCAGTCTCTAAGCTTGTGTGGACCGGCGGAAGGACGAGGAGCATAGGCACCGGACAATTTGTCCAAGAGCCAGTGGTTTGGCGCGCTCAAGCGCTTTTGGTGCTTCTTTCTATATGCGACAAAAACATTAGTAAATGATGTCTTGAGATGTGCTGGACTGTATGCTGTTGCGAAAAGTGGATATGAGGTGATTGAACAAAGCGATCGTAGAGTAGTTCATCGTTGGCAATTGTAGCTTTCGAATGATCGACGAGTCCCAATATCAAAAAATTCCCCGTATCTCCCCATGTCATTGCCAATACCAATCGACGGAATATTCACATCGATTGAGAAAGTCGACAAGGTCTTTTCGTCATTCGATAAAAGTGTTAATGAAAGGGAAGGCTATGCTTACGGTCCTCTTCCCATGGTTGCGTCTCTGTGTGTATGGAGAAACGAGTATTGGGGTGGTTGTTGTCGTCGAAGTTGTCGAAAAGAAAAGTTTTTCAATCGAAATCAAAGACTTTCTCAAAAGTTCCTTCCAAATTTGTGCGCTATCTTAAGCGAGACTGTGAATTTATTGCCTTAAATCTAAGGTTCCAAAACACCTTCACTGATCCTTATCACGGACTCACGCATTCTTTCTACCCCACCATTCAATGGGACCTTTATCTTTTCGCAACAATTCACGATTCCTTTACGTGTAGAACTCCTTTTGGATCGTCTCTATATTATATAAATGCAGCAAACGGAAGAAAGAGAACAGCCCTGCATCGAAGCAAAAAAAGGTATTTAAATATGGTTTGATTGATGGTGAATGATCATTTCCTAGTGAATTGAATCTTGACATGTATCACCTCAATTCATCGATAGAGCAGAACAGCGCAGAACAGAGGAAAGGGAAATAGTTCTATCACATTTCACATTTCAATCCAATGTCAAAGTCTGGCTACAATACTTCTATGCATCAGGTATGCATGAGATCTTCTCAGATTTCAAATTACCTTTTTTTTTTCAGTTCTTCGGCCATTTGAGTCTTCGAAAAGATCTTTGTTTCTTCTCAATGCTGGCTTTTTTGCACCTCCGTCTTATGTTTGCAAGTGCTAGGGGCTGCAGTTCTTGAAATTGCGTTGGAGACAAGACAAACGGCAAACACTTTGAAAACAATGTACAGAGGATGAAACGTTCTTTCCGTCCGATTTTTCTTACTCTTTCTCTGTCTCTCACGTTCACTTTTTGTTGAAGCTATTGTTGATCATTCACTTCTACCCACCTCATCCTTCTCCTCTACCTCCGCCTCCACTTCTACAAAAATATACTACAACCTCTTCTCTCCCTTTCCACATTACTCAAACTTTCAATCTCCAGCAATCCCCAACTTCGTATCTCCTTCCCCATTCAACCAGAATCAGCGCTCCCGTTTGTAATACTGATTTGTTTTCTATCTCGTCATTAGTTACCAGGTAACGAAAGCATCGATTTCTCTAAAGCTATCGTTTCTCGACTTGACTACATCTCACCATTCGACTCTTCTACAATTTGGTAGATCAAACTCTGAATTTACATATCACCCTATTTTCCAGCCAAGTAGCTTACTTCTATCGAAGGGGGAGGGTTTTCAACCAAAACCTAAGACAAAGGTTTGTAGAGTTTGAACCTTCATCTCCCGCAAAGTTTCCAGCAAAGCTAAAAAGCTGATAACGTTGTTAGACTCCCAAATCATCTCCACATTGAAGACTGATCTCCTCATTTTATATTAGCACACACAACCTCATAATCGCAACAATGGCTCCCATAGCTCCCAGGGTCCCAGCCATTCAGGTCAGACCTGAAGTCAATGAGTCAGAGCAAATCGTCTTGCTCATTGACAACATACAGCCCGGTACTACAATATACGAGATGATCAGTAATCTGGAAAAGCAAGGTAACATTGTGTATATCGAGATATTTGGAGACAAAAATCAAAGAGGAAAAGTGACATTTTCACCTGCTCCGAGCCCTTTCTGGCGAAGTGGT